TCCAAAATGGCTGGGAAAACCTTTGCCATGACTCCCAAGTTGCAATATGCTAGATATTCATGGGTTTTCAATGCTGCTGGTTGAAGATATAATGAAAGGATCTAAGGTTTATGCATGAATCAGCATCCCCTTGTCATAATGTCATGGTGCAGTGATCCCTGCAGAGCTGTAAGACTTGATTTAAAACAGAAAAGCTCAACACTGGCTCTTGAGCCAGCAGGATTAAACACCCAAGATCGTGCATATATTACCTCTGTGCTGAAACTACTATATGAAAAACTTGTTACAGTTATGGAGGTTTTATAGTACTCCATAGGAAACATCTCTTTAGGTGACTCCAATATCCTTTCAGTGGAAAAAAATGTATCAGTGCATAATACAACTATTCCTGTTTGGGTTGGTGGTTTAAGAGGAAATGATTTCATCTTCACCAGTTTCTTTTCTTGTTTTGACAGAATTGACATTTTTTAAAATCTGATGTCACTGACGGTCAGCGGTTCTCCCATTAGACTAAACTCAATTACACTGTGCTAAAGCTTGACAATAACGTCCAGTAGTTTGGACACCTTCCAATTCCACCCTGTGAGTTACCTGCAGTCCTGTACCTTTGCTGTAGCTGCTAAAAGCCAAAGAGGTTCTGTTAGAGTGGACCACTTTGTTAACATCTGCCTTTACCACCTAGACTGTAACCCTCTCAATCACCAAGAATTCTCAAAGACAGCTAAGCCTAGCCCATTTCTCGAAGGATGTAACAGCAGTCACAGCAGTGAAAACTTCTGCCAGCAGCCTGAAGAAAGACTGTACCATCTCCCAATCAAAGCTATTAAGTCTAGTGACGCTGACTTGTGAGGTGTCAAACAGCAATTAGATTCCAACAGCTACTCCTGATGACTCGTCAACACAGCTTTGGCAAGACTCCCAACAGTCCAACAACTTAAAGTGACTGTTCGTTGGGGATATATTGAGTTAAGGCTACCTACTCACAGAGCACCCGTTCCTCCTCTGTTACACATATCTTCTGGTCACCTTTAAATGACTGAGTAGTCTTACTGTTTCAAACATGCCTCAGGGGTACACGACCACCACCTTGTCTTTTCTGGACGTTTAGGAACTTACACTTAAAAGTAGTACCAGCAATACAATTCGTTCATCTAAAAACTATTCGCTCTGTCAACGGCCTCTGAGCAAGTGTCGACAGAGAGTTTGAAGATTCCTTCCGATAGTTTTGCAGCGGGGTTTTTGTGCGTTTGTTAGAGCGGATGGGACCGTGTCACTGAGTGTCACCGGGAGGGAGAGGGAGAAGGAGGGAGGGAGGGGGAGAAGGAGGGAGGGAGGGGGAGAAGGAGGGAGGGAGGGGGAGAAGGAGGGAGGGAGGGGGAGAAGGAGGGAGGGAGGGGGAGAAGGAGGGAGGGAGGGGGAGAAGGAGGGAGGGAGGGGGAGAAGGAGGGAGGGAGGGGGAGAAGGAGGGAGGGAGGGGGAGAAGGAGGGAGGGAGGGGGAGAAGGAGGGAGGGAGGGGGAGAAGGAGGGAGGGAGGGGGAGAAGGAGGGAGGGAGGGGGAGAAGGAGGGAGGGAGGGGGAGAAGGAGGGAGGGAGGGGGAGAAGGAGGGAGGGAGGGGGAGAAGGAGGGAGGGAGAAGGAGGGAGGGAGGGAGAAGGAGGGAGGGAGGGAGAAGGAGGGAGGGAGGGAGAAGGAGGGAGGGAGGGAGAAGGAGGGAGGGAGGGAGAGGGAGAAGGAGGGAGGGAGAGGGAGAAGGAGGGAGGGAGGGAGAGGGAGAAGGAGGGAGGGAGGGAGAGGGAGAAGGAGGGAGGGAGGGAGAGGGAGAAGGAGGGAGGGAGGGAGAGGGAGAAGGAGGGAGGGAGGGAGAGGGAGAAGGAGGGAGGGAGGGAGAGGGAGAAGGAGGGAGGGAGGGAGAGGGAGAGGGAGAAGGAGGGAGAGGGAGAGGGAGAGGGAGAAGGAGGGAGAGGGAGAAGGAGGGAGGGAGGGAGAGGGAGAAGGAGGGAGGGAGGGAGAGGGAGAAGGAGGGAGGGAGGGAGAGGGAGAAGGAGGGAGGGAGGGAGAGGGAGAAGGAGGGAGGGAGGGAGAGGGAGAAGGAGGGAGGGAGGGAGAGGGAGAAGGAGGGAGGGAGGGAGGGAGAGGGAGAAGGAGGGAGGGAGGGAGGGAGAGGGAGAAGGAGGGAGGGAGGGAGAGGGAGAAGGAGGGAGGGAGGGAGAGGGAGAAGGAGGGAGGGAGGGAGGGAGAGGGAGAAGGAGGGAGGGAGGGAGGGAGAGGGAGAAGGAGGGAGGGAGGGAGGGAGAGGGAGAAGGAGGGAGGGAGGGAGAGGGAGAAGGAGGGAGGGAGGGAGAGGGAGAAGGAGGGAGGGAGAGGGAGGCGCTCCTGCAGCAGAGCCCGAGGGGCTGCCGGATGCCACCTGCTGGGGCCAGCGCCACCCTGCCCCGCCCCGCCCCGCCCTGCCCCGCCCCACCCTGCCGCCCACTGCCGCTCCCGCACCACCGTCCCCAGTGTCTGCAGCCCGAGAGAGGGCTGGTTTGGGGTTGATTAAATCAAAAGCTGAAATAATTTGGTTGTCGATTTTAGAAAATTTGTTATTCCTAGGGCAGAAAAAGGTCATTACTTCTATTACGGTACAAGCCTGCCACTACGTTTCTGTGAAGGAAAATCACCTTGCTGGAGTGAAATGCCTGGGTAAACACTGAAGCATTTTCAGCTTCACATTATCCTACATTTCTGTGACCTTCTTTTACACTTGCATCGTTTAACTGTTGATAGTGCTGGTTTTGGACACAGAGCCTCTGTACACTATTCTAGGGGGAAAAAAGCAAGCAACCGACCAACAACAACAAAAAAAACAACTTGCAGATTTTTCAGTATACTCATTCTTATTTGAAATAAAGAGGACAAAAAAAAAAAATGGATCCTCCTTAACCATTTCTGCAAGCGGTGCTCTGCAACCAACTGCTAAATTTTGCTTCTTATATTACAAGTATTTGTCTTCAGAATTCCTTTTTCTCCAATCAAACCTTTCTTGGAAAGTAATCTAGGAGATACTACACGTATTTTTAGCATATGCTTCACTACTCAATTAAATCCAGTTGGCAAGATAACTTGACTAAACCATCAGCGGTGATTGAGGTGACAAAAAAGCAAATAGGTGTTCACATCTTAATTTGGTGCTCTTCAAACTGCTTGAAAACAGAAGCCTTGGACAAGGTTCAGACAAAGGGAAACCCAAAACATGCTGTGAGTCTCAAAGTCCATCACTGCAGTCTACAGCCTACACGTGTCATCTGAGTATCGTAAGAGTTCTCCAAGGAAGATAGCTGAGTTCAAGAACAAGGCTGATGTGTGCACACAAACACTGATAAAAAAACTTTATGGGGTTGGAGAAAAATATGTATGCTTTGCTTTTGCAAAGACTAGGTGGCTATACTTGTATTTAGTACTACTAGGAAAAAAAAAATAATTGAATTCTGGTGTTTCACACAAATTATTTTTAGGATTTCATTGACTTCACAGAATTCAAATACACAGAGAGACCAGTCACGTTTTTGCAGAATGACACCTAGACCGCTACACAACCCCTTACTTCAGCAACGGTCCCAGTAACACATACTGCAAATACTAACCACACGTAGTTCTGGTTGCTGCAAAACCTCATTACCTAAAAAAGCAGGAACTCCCCAAGCAGCTTGCAAAGATTATCACAGCAGCTTTACTGTGGCCGGTTACGCGCTCTGACCTTTTTTGACTTCAGCTATGTATGCTCTACCCTCCTAGCCTCATACATGCCACTGAAAGCTCCTCGGGTTGAGCTCTTGCACCACCTATCCCAGCATCTGTGCCGAGACGCCCCTCTCCAGCTCCACCGCACCTACCATAGGGTAGCTAAAACAGGGAAGGAAAAAAATAATAAATAATAATAAAAAAAAAAGGTTGCCAACGGAGGGAAAAGACTCTCACTGACAGCTAACTTCTAGATTCAGTGTCCTTTACGGCTGGTCCCCAGGAGAGACAGGGAATCGCCCCGGGGGAGCCGATGAGCCGTGGCTGTCCGGGTGGGCCAGCAGCACGGACAAGGGTGGGCTCCCTCCTCCCGCCTGGCCGCGCCGCTCGCGGGGCCCCCGGCTTCGCTTGAGGCGGGGGAAGGCGGGGGAGCCCTCACCCCTCCGTGCCTCATGCCCACGGCTCTCACCACCCCCGCGCAACGCGTGCGTGTGTCCCCGTCCCCCCACCCCCGCCCCGCCAGCCACGCCGCTCCGTGGGGCCAACACGCCCCTCGCTTGTGGGGCGGCCACCGAGCGGCAGGTGGAGGCGCGAACGTCGCCGCGGGACCCCCCGCCCACGGAAGGGTTCCTCTCTTTGCAGCACCCCGCCTGTCCCACCGCTTCCCGGGGCGACGCGTGTGCTCCGCCATCCCGCGGCACGCGTGGGGCCGGGCTCTGCCTCGCCGGAGGCGGAGCCCGGGCAGATCCCCCGCCGGCTGCCCGCCCGAGCAGCCCCGCCGCGGAAGGCCGCGAGGGCGGGCAGGCGCGGGGGCCTCCCACGGTCCCGCCGGGCGAGATGGAGCCCGCAGCACGGCGCGGCGTAAAATGGCTGATCGCCCCCCGCAGCCGCCCGCTCCGCGCAAACCCTCGACCGGCCCTGCCCACGCCGGGGAAGGGGCTGGCTCCGCAGCCGCGGCAGAGCCCGCCGCGGGGCCCCGCAGCCTTATGTAACGCGTGGGGGAGAGCCGCCGGGACGCGGGGGCGGCGGGAACCGTGTGAAACCTCCGCGGGGGCCGGGGAGGCGCACGGGGACCCCGCGCCCCCGTTACCGCGGGGGCGGGACCGGGCGCTCCCGCACCTGCTCGGCGGCGGCGCGGCGCCCCCCCCCACCCCGCTACCCACCCACCCACTCCCACGCACACCCCACACCACCTTCCCCACCCCCCCCCCCCCCCCTCACCCCGCGTCGCCGCGCGCAGGCGCCCCGCCGCCACGGCCGCCGGCGCCCGTTTACTCACAGGCGTTGGTGACGGCGAAGCTGTTGGCCACCTCCAGGTTGTCGATGTGGGGAGTCAGCCTGAACTCCGAGGTGGAAAACTGAACCATCCCTACCCGGAACGCGCTGTACTCCTGGTCGGCGCCCCTCGGGAACAGCCCCCCTGCAGGGAGGGAGACACACACACACACACACACACACACACAGACACACACGGGCGCGCGCGTCAGGCGGGGGGCACGGGCAGAACCGGCGCCGCGGCCGCGTCCCTTCCCGCCGCCCGGGGGTGTGTGTGTGGGTGTGTGTGTGTGGGGGGGGGGTGCCGGTGGTGGGCTCCGCCGGCTCGGGCACGGCTGCCGGAGGGACGCCGGCGGCGGTCGCGGGACGGGAGCGCGGTGGGACACGCGAGGCACGGCCGAGCGCCGGGAGGAGCGCGGGGCGGTGGAAGAGGGAAGGGGTGGTGGTGGGGGGGGGATGTTCCGCCGTGGCGCGGGCACCTACCGATCTGTATGCTGTTCGAATTGACCCCCCAGATCAGCCCCCACAACACGGGCGCCAGGAAGACAGAAACGCGCATAATCTTTTGCATTTCCAGGAAAAGCAGAGCATCCACGAAGCCACGGAAACAGCCCTTCCTTCTGCCTCGTCCCTTTCCTCCGCGGAGCGCGCTCAGCCGGCGAATTAGCTTCCCCTGCGCGCCGGGCGAGCGGCCGGCGGGGGGCGAGGAGCGGGAACACCGGCGCGGGGGAGAGGCCGTTGCCCACGCAGCCGCCGCGAGCTGCCGCCGCTCCGGCCCCTCCTCGTCCCGGCTCCGGAAATAAGCGGGGGGGTGGCGATTGGGCGGGAGGGGGGGGGGAATTAGGGGGGTAGGGGGGGTGGCCGCGTGCCGTCGGCGCCGCCGCCGCTGCCGCCGCCGCCGCCGCGGTGCTCCCGCTGCCTGAGCGCGCCCGCCGCCCGGCCCTGCCCTCACACGCGCTCGCCCGCGCTCGGCGAGGCGGCGGCGGCGCGCCTGCGAGGGCGGCGGGAGCGCGCCTCCCTCCCCCCCAAACTCCTCCCGCCGCGCTGCCGCCCCGCCCCGCCTCGCCCCGCCCCTTCGCGCGCGGCCCCGGCACGGCCGCCAACCTTCAGCACCGCGGACAGCGGCGGGGGGGGCGGCCCCGCCCCGGGGAGCGGGGGGACCGGCGCCCGCGGAACCACCCACGCACCCACCCACGCACCCACCCACACACAGACACACAGACACGCGCACACACCCGGCGTGCCGAGCCCCGCGCCACCGGGAGACTTTGCGCGGAAAAAAAATCGGAGGCGCGGATCGACCGCACGCCGACTTCTCCCGGTGGCAGCGGGCGGCGACAGCCCAGGTGGAAAACTGAAATGCAAACAACAGCAAAAAAACAAAAAAACAAAAAAACAAAAAAAAAACACAAACTCAAAACCTTCAATTTTTTTAGAGGCTTTTATTTTTCTTTTTTTTTTTTTTTTTTTTCATTAGACTTCACCAGGCTGCTATTTGCATGTAGCCACCTTCCAGGTATAACTGAAAAGCACATTTTTAACTGCTGTACCCAAACCAGAACATATGCAGGATGGTTTAAAGCTCCTCGGATATTTCATTTTCATGTATAAAGGGGAATTTTTTCCCCAAGATGGGTTCCAGCTATATTAGCTGGACATGTTATTTACTGCAAGCTAAACGTAACATTTTTCAGTTTGGCACAAAGTAGGTTGCTATGCACCACACGCACAGGGACACATGGACACACACGGACACATGCACATATCTCACAGAAGAACAGGCTGTGCAGAAACGCTGTGACTCTGACAATGAATCTGCTATTAAATGATCATTTGCTGGCATACGGGTTTTCTTTTTTTTTTTTTTTTTTTTTCATTTTTTGTTACTAAAGATGAGGAATATCTGTGTAGCAAAGGATACTGATCTTACACTGTATTTATTGTTTTGTTTGTTAGTTTGTTTTTTAATTATTAAATGGTCTTAATTCTCCTTTCCAGATACAAAGAAGGGTCTTGAAGCTTCAGATATTCAGATGTCAACATAAGTACATACCCTGAACACATACGAAGTAGGGAGTTTGAGGCCCTTTACCCATTCATGATGAGTTTAGTTTCACTTGAGTCATTTCACCAGGAAATTCTGTACTAGCTTCAGTCTGGACTTGTATCATCAGCTCTCTCTCTCACCACAAAACGAGATGAGCCTGAAAAGAGAGAGAGCTTTAACATCGTGAGCTTATAGACCCCGTGGCGGTATTGGGGTGGAGAGGCAGAGCTGCTACAGCCCTTCCTTGCTCTCTCCCCCAGCCTGGTCCCTCCCAGCAGCCGGGTTATATGCTCCATGGTAAAACCTGACGCTGAATTCTGTGAAAGGAGCAAAGACTGTCACTGTGACAATTGAGAGATCGAGGTATCAGAGGAAAGCTTGCATTCAGGTAGTCCTCACCGCACCCTGGACAACGAGATGTGCAGGCATCTAGTTTTAATAAATAATTCAGTGTAATATGGCCAATCTTTAACAGGAGCGCAGATAAATCATAAGCATACACTTTTTTCACCCAGTTGTGAAGAATCTCCTTATGTATATCAAATTAGGTTAAAATGTGGCAAAGATGTCAGTTTGAAGATTTTACTAGTTTATAATAAAGCAAAAAATCCTATTTGCCAGTATACATTACAGCTGCATAATGAACTAAAATATAAAAAGCATTAAGATGATGCAAAATATAAAAATGAAATCTAGAAGAAGCCCACGTTTTAAACTAATTGTCATTACAGTTATGGAAAGGATTTAAACCTTTAAGCTGGGGTGGGTTTTCTTTTTTGTTATTTTGGTTTTGTTTGTTTTTTTTTTTTTTTTTTTCTGCCATAGGGAACGGTGCTATTCGACATGCACATCAAGATCTTTGTCAGATACGGTGAGAATAATTCATGGTGATGCACGTTTTATCTGCTTAGCTAGTAGAACGTTATTTTATTGTTTATACTAAACTGCAAATAATGCTAAAATTAGTTTGATCCCACTGTAGCGGGCACTACACAACAGGCAACCTACATTAAGGTCTTGAACCCACTTTCTCTCATGACAGTGTCCTTGCTACACCTTTTGAGTTAAAGACCTACAGAACATAGCGTAGCTGGTAGGTAAAATAAAAGGGACCTGAGTAAGGAGTTAATTACCAATTACAGCTGGGGGTTTTGTACAGACCGTTTGTGGTGAGTTAATAACAACTGCCATGGCAGGCAGAACCGATACCCGCCCCAGCTGTCCATTTTCTAATGCACATCATGTACAACGTGTGTGTGTGTGTGTGTAATATTCCAGATTTTTATCATCATGTCAGCGCATGGAGAAAAAATGTTGAATTATGTGGCCATATTCTAATTTTTGTGTGTCAGAGAAAAATAAAAGATGCTATCTGAGGTGAGTAAGTACAAAAAGGTGGCATGGGCTAGTGAATCAGCAAGAAAACAGTTTAATCAGAATTTAACAGGCAAAAATGCTGATAATAAAATAAGGCCTTCTTCAACTCTCCATTTTTTATAACAGTTCTGTGCTAATCTAAAAGATGCAAGCAGGCAAAGGAGAAAAAAAGAAATTTATAGGTGATAGTAATTTATGACCGTGTACTAAGAATAGACATACTCATTAGCACCGTGCATAAAAAAATCAGACTACATTACTGGGAATCACATTCAGTGCTTTTTGCGCAAGAAAGGGAAAAGAATCTAGCAAGACGTAAGTAAGGACTGTAATCTTAAAAACAGAAGATTATATTCTCATATGCATTCTTCCAAGTCACCAATAAAAGCTCATCTAAAAACGCATTAGTTCAGAATCTGAACAAAGCATCAACAGGGGGACTGTTAATAATAAGCATCAATCACTTGTTGAAAGGAACATAGCAGTGAAATAATAATGGAAACGATGACAGATGACAGAAGGCCAGATATCAAATAATAAGATGTCAAAACCCTAAAGAGGCTAAGTGCCCAATCCTGATTCCATGGAAATCCAGGGGAGATTTGCTACTTCCTGCAAAGTAATGCAGGATTTGATCATGGCTGTATTTGATTTCACAGGTTCTAACAGACAATATTCGGTACAGAAGGTAGAAGTTGGTGAGGAAGCTGAAAAGGGCTAGCAGATGTGCTAATCAGAAATAAATATGAGTTGATCAGGAATACATTTCCTCAGCGATTCATCCTGGCACAATCCTGGTTGACACAGTGGCTGCAATTAAACTAAATGTTCATGTGTTTCAGCAGGTGCACAGGAGACCTGGAAATTACTGGAGAACTGGAAATTTTTGCCTTGTGCTCAGAAACGTTTAGGGATCACTCCATATACTTACCAAAAAGATAGTTCCGTCATGACTTCATGACGCAGAGTACATGCTTCAGGAAAGCAACTCTGATGCTATAAAGCATTTGGGGAGATGGATGCAGTAAAAAAACCCCAGTATTTGAATGCTGATTTTAATCATATTCAGATTAGAAATAAACTTTATCTTTTTTTCTGCTGTTTTGGCAATGTGTCATTGACCACAGCAATCACACGCTGAGGGCTGTAGTGAATTCCTCGGCCCTGGAAAATGCTCAGTTAAAACCAGATTCTTCTCTAAAAGCACTTGTTTAAAAGTTAAATTATGAAAAGGCCCTTGGCAAAAGCTCAGACTAAATGGTTATAGTGGTCCTTTCTGGACTTATATGCCATCAATATTTGGGTTTTATAATCAGAATAATTTCCATTCCTTTTTTAGTTTAAAAAAATCTTAAAATATGCAGGGTTTGCAGGGTGCAAAAGTGCTGTACCAGTGTACGAATTCTTTGATTCTATGGCCAGTCAAGAAATGCTTCACTTCAAAAAAGATTGTTGTCTTCGGATTTTTAAAACCTGCAGAACTTTTGCAAATACCAGTAAATGTAAATAAAGAGGAAAAGCAAATGGAAGTTTCGAGTTCCAAACCTTTCTTAAATTGTTTAGTCCCATATGTTCGTTCTCGATCGCAAGAGTCTTTTTAAAAATAAAAAGTACATCCTGATCTCCCATGTTCATTCTGCTTCCTCTCCTGATTAGCAAACACATACTGTTCCCATTAGCAGTATATATACCCGGGGATGGTATGCACTAAGGAACAGCTTATGCTACCTTCTATTATGTGATTCTGATGGTGAATAAAGAAACATCACTACCCTGTGGTATGACTAATGGAAAATAACTAGTGATAGTCATACAACTTTAAGTTCCTTTTGCTGTATAGTCGCTGTGACAGTGCAGTTTGTCACTAGCTTAGCTAACCATTGTGAGAAATGTATAGTGAATTGGGATTTGCTATATTTATCTGAGCGACTTGCATTCTTGCTATTTGCAAGTAATGTTACACTTACTTTGCTGATTAAATCATTTAGGCATATGCTGATCTCTCCGTGGGCGTGGAAAATCTGCTATAGATTACTTCAATTTTTTTCTACTGAGATTATAGCAAAGTACATTATTAAGACTCTGGAAAAAGATAAAAAGAACACTTTCAGATTAGGCTATGTATGCTAAACCTGTGATTCTTGTCTGGTAGAGTCTTTCCTTTTCTTCCAACAGTATAAAATACTTCCATTGCTTTTTCTCAGTCCCAAGGAATACATTTCTTATCCCTGTCCTGATTTTTTCCTGCCTACCTGCTACCTCTCTCCTTCCTTGCCTGATTTCCATCTGGTTTTCCAAAGCATTGCCATCACAACCATTTTTTCTCTCCTGTTATTTTGATTTTACCATCCCCATACCCCCTGCAGAGCACAGCTAATTCGAATGTGTTGGTTTTTTGCTTTAGACTGTAACAGCCAGCCTTGATCCTCTCTCTTTTCATCTGCCACCTCTCCCATCTGTTCCATGAGCAATGCCAGCCTTGACTCCAGTGTT